CCCTCACTCCCTCCCTCTCTCTCTCTCCTCCTCTTCCCTCCCAGTACTCCCCTTGGTACTGGGGACCTTATGCTTAAAAGGCAAGCCAAGCGGCAGCTTACAAGGCAAGCGGCAGCGGCAGAACCACTGAGCTAAATCCTTGGCCCTGTTCTCTTTTTTGTGTTTTAAAATCAGCTTTATTGAGTCTAATTTACAAATACTATGGTTGAATTTCAAAAACTGTCAGCAAGAGATAGATTTTGAGAATGTAGGTAATAAAAGTAAATGGTTTTAAAGTTTAAAAAATTTTTACTAGTACATGTTTGCAGTACAATGATTATATTCATTGTGGGGAGTTGGTACATATACAGAACATATCTCAGTTCTCTGCATCACCTCCCCCTCACTAAATTTTTCATAACTGTAGTTTGACATACTTTCACATTTCTGAAGAACATTTGCATATCTGTAGTAGATGTGTTCATTATGGATAAAATTTTTATTAATATTTTTACCATAGGATATCGCTTAGACTCTCTGCCCAGAAGAATTTGGAGAAGAAAGAAAAACACCATGTTCAGATGAAAGCAAAGAGATGTGCTACTCCTGTAATCAGTGAAATTCCACCTTCCAAAAAGATGAAAATGTAAGTAGACACAACTTTTCTTTTGTTTTTGAGATAGGGTTTAACTGTGTAGCCCAGGCTGGCCTTGAACTCAAGCCAGTCCTCTTGCCTCAGCCTCCTGAGTGCTAGAATCACAGGTGTGCACTACCATGCCTGGCTAATTGACACACTTATTCCTAAGGGCTAATGTGCTTTGTGTAACACCTATAAGTTAAATATCCTTCCTGAATTTAAACTTTTTAATGAACCAAGTAGAATTACAAGTGGTATAGCTTCAGTCTGGTGCACCTGGGGCTTGGGAAGCTCCTAAAGCTGTGACCATGATGAGGGCAATTGTTACCTGTGTGTGGAATGTGCTCAAACCTTTGTTGACACAAGTTTTACCCCATTTACTTCTGGGGCTGAGGACAAGCCAAACACATAGCGTGTTTTCCTGTTCTTGTCAGTTAGGAATGCATTTTGTGGCAAATAGTATTCAACTAGAGTATTTAAATAATAGTGATTTGCTTCATAGACATTTACAAATAATTTACTGCTTTCTTTGGTTCAGTTGCTGAACAATGGGTTATCTCTGTGATACTTAGCCTTTTTTTTTTAAAAAAAATATTTGTTGCTCGAGATGGCTGTTCTGTTGTTTCTTAGCTTTTTCCTTTGGCTTCTTTTTTGTTTTGTTTTTTTGGTGTTTTGGTTTTTTGAGACAGGATCTTGCTGTGTAGCCCAAGCTGGCCCTGAACACATGGTGATCCTCCTGTCTCAGCAGGGATTTCATGCCTGCCTTTCTTTGGCTTCTTGATTCATTATCACAAGTTAACTGCTATATCTTTAGGCATAGCATCCATGTTTAAGAGAAAAACAAGTGTATGGTAAGGAAAGAGTAGCATTCATATCTAAAAAATGAAATCTTTCTCAGATGCACTTAAATTACACCTTAGTTTCCCAGACTGTCACTTGGCCTCTCTAATTGCAGTAGAGATGGTGGAAATAAGTACAGTCCTTACTAGTAGCTTTGTACATTGTTCCTCTTTCTAATAAGAAAGAGATGGAATGGATAGCAGGAAGGCAACTATGAAGAGCAGAAATAATCTTTTCTTACCGTCCTAACCACCACTGGCCAACCCTTATCTTGACCTCTGTCAGCTCCCTCAAAGGTTATTCATTCGAGATATTCTATCCAGGAATCTGCAACCTGCAGTCTACAGGTGGGACATGCCTAAGTCATAATAAAGTATATTTTAAAAAGAAGTTTTTTTAAACTTATGTACATTAGCTATATTTTTATTTATTTATTTATTTATTGGTTGTTTTTTATTTTGTTTTTGGGTTTTTTTGTTTTTTGTTTTTGGTACCGGGGATTGAACTCGGGTCCTTGTGCTTGCAAGGCAGGCCACCAAACCGCTGAGCTAAATCCCTAGCTTTTGGTTGTTTTTGAGACAGGGTCTCACTATGTAGTTGAGACTGACCTGGAACTCACTATGTAGCCCACGCTGCTCTCAAACTCACAGAGATCCTCCTGCCTCAGCCTCCCAAGTGCTGGGGTTTAGCTATATTTTCATATGTGACCCAAGACAATTTTTCCTCACTTAATGGCACAGGCAAGCCAGACATGTCCAGCCAATGAGCCTCAGATTGGACATAGTGGGTGTAACAATCTGATGATACTATTGGAAAAAGTTTGTGATTAGAGCATATTTATTATCTTAAAAATGAGAAAACTTGAGCCATATCAGATTTGGGGAGATGGTTGGTGTGAAATATGCATTAGGGAATTGAGTATATGTTTTTTGTCCTTTTTAACTCAAGTTCTCAAAACAGAAAGGAGCCAGAGGAAGAGGAAGAGGAAGAGGGCAGTGCTCAAGATACTTCCAAAACGAATAAAATTTCCCTCAAAAAAGTGAAGGGTAGACGTACTATGCCTCATGTACCAACTATAAAGTAAGTTTTCTTTCCCAGGTTAAACTAAGAGTGAACAGAATACAATTATAAGTGGGTGCATCTACAATCCTTTTTGTGCACTTGGAGCTGGTGAAACTCTTAAAGCTGTGTTCATGGTAGGTGAGTTGTTGCCAGTATTCCAGGTGCTGCTGTATCCTTAAATGAGAAAACATATTATTTAAATATAACCTTTATAATACAATACATAAAAGTTAATAAAGGTTCTTACTACCTAAATTGAAGTTTGCATTTTTTTTTTAACTTTCAGATACTTTCACATTTTTGAAATCTCCCCCGGCCTTTATTCAAGTAAATATACATATTTTCACAAATAGTTAATAAGCAGCCTCTGGGTTCTCCTTAGTCATTTGCCATGAGATGATTTCTTTTTTCCTGTACTGCTGCATATATATGTTTATACTTTTTTGGTATTGTTAATATTCTCTAAAATTATATTTAACCATCTCCTGTTGTAAAGTAGTTACTGGTTTTTCACTATAATATGTGATTATATAGTAATCAATGAACCAGCTTTATAGGCAGAAGCCATATCTTTGAGGAATCTCAGATTAAAGAGATTCTTTGATCAAAAGTATCTTATGATCTTGTGGGTTTTGATTGGTATTTGTTGCCAATTTAATTCCTGATTAGAGTACAAATTTATACTACTATTGGCTTTGAATGAATATTTTTATTTCTTGTATTTTATTTTTTGGTTTTGCTTTTCAAGGCAGGGTCTCACTATGTAGTTCAGGATATCCTTGAACTCACTTTTTAGCCCAGGCTGGGCTTGAACTTGAGGTGATCCCCCTTACCTTCAGTCTCCGAAGAGCTGTGTTTACAAGCATGTACCACCATGCTTGGCACATTTCTTGTATTTTTATCTGCTTTCTTTTACTTTATAAAATTGCTGCAAATTTAGTTACTGCAGCATTTTTTTTTCTTTTTCTTTTTCTTTAACTTTTCATTTTTATTTTTGGTTTTTTTGAGGCAGTTCAATTTGGCCTTGAATTTGCTAGGTAACCCAGGCTTGGATCCTCCTGCAAAGAAACCTCCTGAGTGTTAGAATTACAGGCATAAGCCCCTCCAGCCCACAAAAGTTTTTAATTTTTTTTCTGGTACTGGGGATTGAACCTGTGTTAGGTAAGCAGGTTCTCACTGAATTATTCTCCTAGCCCTTTTAAAAGTTAATATAATATCAGTGACATCAAATTAGTTTTTAAATTGACAGCTTATAATTGTATATATTTATGGGGTGAAGAGTAATGTTAATGACTTTTAACAACAATATAGAATAATTAAATCCAGGTAATATATCTAGCACCACAAATACTAACATTTTTTATGGGGAAACAACTGAAATTCACTCTTTTTATTATATGTGCTGCTGAAGCGAGCACTGAAATTCACTCTTAATAATTTTGAAATTTGCAATGCACTCTTACTACATTAACTAATGCTGTGTAATAGATTTTAAAAAGCACTTACTTCTTTTGTCTGGCATTTTTGTACCCTTTTAACGATCATCTCTTTTCATCCTCAGCACCAAATTATTTTAATGCTTACTTATTTGCTGACTTAATTGTATTAATGTTACTGTAAACATCTCCGTATTTCTTTTTAGTGAATTGTCTATTCTTTAAGTAGTCTTAGTGATATTCTTACTACTAAGAATGGCCACTGTGTGTTGAATTTAAATGTGTCAAGCACTTCAGAATCATCTGATGTAACAGTCTTAAAGGTTCTGTGAGCTTGAGTTTTCTTTTCCTTAACTTTCAATCCAGAAAATAGGCTAAGACATGTTAAATAGTTTTCTCAAGTCTGTATAGGCAAAAAATAAAATGGGAGAATTGGGATTTAACTTTTAAGTCTATCTTCTCTTTTAAACCTAGTTTGTACTATTGCCGTATTTGTTGTAAATATTTTCCCCATTTTTATTATTCACCAGTCTTATTTTGCAGTGCTGAGGATCAAGTATAGTGCCTTGTGCTTACTAGTCAAGCACTCCACCATCATCTTTATTTATATATTTATGTATGTATATGTTTTGTGGTACTAGGGATTAAACTCAAGGCCTTTTCACCAAACTATAATCTCAGCATCCTCTTCAACTTTTAAATTTTTATTTTTTGTTTTGAGACAGGATCTTACTGAGTGTATAAGTTGCCCGGGCTGGGCTTGAATTTGCAATCCTCCTACCTCAGCCTCTCAGAGTGCTAGGATTACAGGCCTGTGTTACCTTGCCAGGTTCTACTGAGTTTTTAAACTAGATTTTTCATGTGTCATAAAAGCTAAATCATATGATCAGATTTGTGGATCTTTTGTAGTATCTCTTACAGTTGTTTTCAGCTATTTTTAAAATTTTTTTCAATATTTTGGTGTACAATATGCATGTTTTTTACATTTTTATCAGTCTAAGCCAGTACTGTTTGTTAGATAATAGCTTGGTTTTGATGGTTATCATGTTAAAAAACATAGTCTATAATGCCTTTAATTCTTCTGAATCATTGAATCCCTTTTTTCACTCTGATTTTTTCTATTTAAATGCCCTTTAGGCAGAAGGTTCTCAAAAGTACTGAGGAGCAAGAGTTGGAGAAGAGCATGAAAATGCAGCAGGAGGTGGTAGAAATGCGGAAAAAGAATGAAGAGTTCAAGAAACTTGCTCTTGCAGGAGCAGGTCAGCTAGGCACTGGTTGGGTATTTTATGAGGGTGCTTCTTATAATCTTGGTAGGGTTTCTTTGTTCTCTGCAAAAAGAATTTCTCAGCAGAGAAATAATTGTTTATTTAAAAGACTGAATGTGGGTCTCATTTATACCCCAGTGATTATTCCCTATAATATTTTACCTACATTGACCCTTAGAGCATGCTGTTCTTCCTCTTTTTTTTTTTGGTACGGGGGATCGAACTCAGGACCTTGGGCTTGTTGAGGCAGGTGCACTGTCACTGAGCTAAATCCTCAGTCCTGTGTATCCTCTTTTATTCTGATGACAGAGGAAAGGAGAACTGAGTCAAATCTGTTGCACATATGGAAGAAAAAGTATGTGAGGGGAGGGCTCACAGTTCTGTTTTACTCTAGCATAGGGTTATTGATGGAGTCAAAGCTATAGAGTCCTTAATGGGTTGAAAAGCATACCTGGAGTTTATAAGGTTTTGTTTCCCAGTTAGAGATGCTGAGTTAAGTTTGCTTTTAAAGTCAATACATAAGGCCTAGGTGTAGCTCAGTGATAGAGTGCTTGACTAGCACTTGTAACACACTGGGTTTGATTGCTAGTACCACACATATAAAATCAATCTATGGCTTTTCCTATCAAAGACATACCACTCACTCACCAAACCTGTGACTACACCTGGGAAATGAGGTTTGTCTTCCCTGTTGTATTCATATTTGTATTTGACCAAAGGGTTTCAAACCTAATAGGACTCAATAAAATATGACACGTGGTAGTGTCCAGAAGGCTACTTTGGGTTTGGGGTTACACATATGTAGAGAACAAAGTTAGATCCATGGTGATTGAAATAGTGAAGAAATAAAGTAAAAGATTTATTGAGGTTCTCTGTTTTGTTTGTTTTTTTTCCTCCCTGGTGTTTTGAGACATGGTTTCACTGTGTAATTGAGACTGGCCTTGAACTTGCTGTGTAGCCCAGGCTGGTCTTGAATTTGTGGTGATCGTGCCTCAGCCCACATGCTGGAATTACAGGCGCCTACCACCACACCTGGTGCTGATGTTCTGTATTTGTTTTGGGGTTTTTTTGGTACTGCGGGTCAGATGTTCTCTATTCTTGACATTATCTGTATCTCTCTCTCTCGCTCTCTCTCTCTCTCTCACACACACACACACTCCCTCCCTCCCTCTCTCTCTCTCTCTCTCCCTCTCCCTCTCTCTCTCAGGGCAACCTGTGAAGAAATCAGTGAGCCAGGTAACCAAAGTAGTTGACTTCCACTTCTGCACAGATGAGCGAATCAAACAACATCCTAAGGGCCGGGAAGAGTATAAGGAAGTGAACTTTACAGCTGAACTGCGAAAGCATCCCCCCTCTCCTGTAAGTTGATAGGCTAAATGAATATGCTTGTTGCTAATTCAGTTCAGATTTCAGGAATAGCAGTTGTGGTCACTGATTACTCTAGTTTAGTTTAAAGAAGCATATGTTTTGAATTAAGACATATAAACCTGCTTTAAACTATGATCTTGGACAAATCACTCTACCTCTGGGAATTCTCTTACCAAGTTGCTTTGAAAATTAAATTAAGAAGGTACATAAAGCACATAAAATTATGTGCAAGAACTTGTAGTTAGAGGCATTTCTGCTGCAAAAAAAATTGAGAAAAATCTATGTCTGCAGAATTATGTAGAAAATACAATAGGACTAATGGGAACAGATAGGGTTGTATAGACCACTCAAATCCCATACACTTTTATGAATAGGTTCACTGAAAACAATGACAATCCTAAATAAAAATTCTAGAACTTAAAGACTACACACACTTGTTGTTGGGATCGCCATTCTTTTCTAGTCTTAAACCTAGAGATTGTGATGCTACTTTTCAGATATGTCTGAAAAGTTTTGTTTTCAGCCAGACAGCAATCTTAGAAGACTAATGATCCAACGGGTAGGCTTTATTGTCAGTCAGTTTGAGGGGATGTATGTAGAGGGGATGTAGGTAGGGAGGCTGATCTGATGCAGACAAGAAGCCAGGTTAGTTTTTTTTAAATGGGTTTGGGGTGGGATGCTTTTGCAACTTTTTTTTTTCTTTGAATGTTAAGTTTGCTCTTGTTTGGTTCAAAACATTGACATTGACATTGACAAAAGATTGGGAAAATTGCATAAGTACTGTTGTAAACAGATGATTTGCTAAGTGCTAGATCACTTCTTCCTTAAGCAAAAGAAGGAAAAAATGCAAGCAAGTTTATTCTTGTAATCTTAGTACTTGGGAATTTAGGAGGCTGAGGCAGAAGGATGATGAATTCATAGCCTAAAGTAAGAGTCAGAACCCATCTAAAAAAAAAAAAAAAAAAGATGAAAGACTGATTATTATCCTTGCTGAAGGACAAACATCAGATCAGAATATAATAATGGTTTTACCTGAGGTCTTTTTATTTTGATCTTCTTTGCAAAATGTGTGGCTTGAAGGAGGTCTTTGCTGTTATAATACTTCAGTTGGGGAACAACTTTTCTCTTTACAGGCCCGAGTGGCTAAGGGATGTACTATCATTAAGCCTTTCAACTTGTCCCAAGGAAAGAAGAGAACATTTGATGAGGCTGCTACTCCGTATGTGTCCCTGGCACAGCAGGTTGAGGCGTTCCACAAACGAACCCCTAACAGATATCATTTGAGGAGCAAGAAGGAAGATATTAGTAAGTTTCCTACCAATATTATCGATGACGAGCCTCCCCTAGAATTTTCAACACAGGAGAAGGGATTGTTCTTTGCACGGATGATGGAAGAGTAAGAGCAATGCGTGCAAATGCTCATGTGTTTATAGATACAGTGGTGAATAGATGAGGGAATTCTAATAGTTTCTGTCTTAATGAAAATAATTAAGATGATAGGAGTGAGGTGGTATAAAATAATTGCTGAGAGAATAGGCCTAGTTTCTTGATAAAGCAGAATGTGGTTATTTTTCCTTTGGAGTCTCTAAAGTTTTTCTTCTCTTTGTTTGGACAGGCTTTCTTTTAGCACTGTATTTGGTAGCCATACAAGTTCCTTTCAGTACAGCATTTGATTTTGTCAGATTTTATGTTAATGAAATAACCCTCATGAAAATTATAAGTATTAAACATGACTTTTCAAATAATATGACTCTGAGACTTAATTTGATATGCTCTGCTTTTTAGAATCTGATTCCTTTCAAATCAGAAGAAAATTATTTCATGCAAGTTTTATGTAAAATTTTGTAGTTAGGGCTGGGGATATAGCTCAGTGGTTCTGCCACCTGCCTCACAAGTGCAAGGACCCAAGTTTGATTCCCGGTATTAAAAAACAAAAACAAAACAAAATTTTGTACAGTTAAATAGTTATATTCTTTTTTTCCTGGTACTGGGGATCGAACTCAGGACCTTGTGCTTATGAGGTCGGTGTGGCACCACTGTGCTAAATCCTTGGCCCTAAATAGCTATGTTATGGTTATATGTATATTTGAAGTATTCCTTATTCTAAAATAAATGGATTTGATGTTGATATCCCCCCACTGCTTTGTGATAAGATCTAAATTAGAGGAATCATTCTAAATACTTAGTTATGACAGTTGGCAGGATTGTCCCTGGTCAGGTAGATTAGTATTTTCTGAGTGTTGGTGATGTTCTTAATAGCAATACTTTTTTTTTTGGTGATAGGGATCGAACTTGGGACTTTGCTTCTGAGGCAGGTGGCAGAACCACTGAGCTAAATCCCTGGCCCATACTTTTTATTTTTTAAATAAATCTTATTTTATCACACCCCCCGAAGCTCCTTCCCCTCCCTGTGTACAAAGGCTTTGATTACGTTTTTTCCTTCTTAATATTTTGACAGTGGCTTTTTACTTTCTTCCATTTGACTTTCTATGAGTGGTGGTCTTGGTGCTTTGGTATTCCTTTTTTTTTTCTCCCCTCATTGAGTTTATTGGTACATTTTAGGTATACAGTACAGTTACATTCATCACAGGTATTCCTCATTTAACTACCTACATGTTTAACAACTATTCAGATTCACAACCTGCCGCTTGGACTTTATGACCCATCCTTTTTTTTTTTTGTACAATTCTGTACATCTTGTTGATAGAGTCTCAGTGTCCTTTTTTTTGGTACAGTACACTTTGTTTATACAGTAATGTAATTTTTGCTGAATGCATTAAATAGTAGAACTGTACTGTAGTTTTATGTTCTGTTATACATTGTAGTACTGCATGTAAGAATTATGCAAATAAAAGCAAATTCATCAAGTTAGGCTTTACTTTGACCATTTGTTTATTTTTAATAATTTATTTATTTATTTAAGCAAAATAATTGGTATTGTCAGGAGAGAAGAAGTACAGGCCTGTGCAATGCTGAGGAACCCATTAGACATGAATAATTTTAAGTTTAGATGATGACATGAGAATTTGCCTAAAGGCTCTCCCTCAGTAAAGAGTGATGGGAAGGTAATAACATTTGTTGTGTTGACTGGTATCAATCAGCTAAGCTGCGTATGAAGGGCCAGCCACTCTGGCTTGTTTATGCATTGTTGGGACTGCCTATTTGAGTCAGCACTTAGCGCTAAACCAGAACATGGGAACTAGGTGAACATCTGTTACCTTGGTTTCCAGGCCTGTTATCCTCCAAATCTTCTGTGACCAAGATGTCCACAGAGCCACAGACCCCTGTACTGCAAACCAAATACCGAGCAAGGCCTGTGACCTGCAAAAGCACAGCGGAACAGGAGGCTGAAGAGCTTGAGAAACTTCAGCAGTAAGTTCTACTGACAGTGCCTGAGGAAGACTTCCAAGAAACCTGCTTGCTTTCTCACAGTTCTGTGAGAGTGACAGTTGCTATTTTTCTTTTCCTGAAAATAAATCTGTGGCACTTGAGTTGTAGGCTCTGCAGGCTGCCCTTGCCATACCCTGGGCTGTAAACTGGTAAAAATCTAACTCAGTAGTTGGAGTGGAAGTGCTTGCTTAAAGTTCCAATTAAGGAATGTCCTCTGAGGTTGGTTTAGGTAGAGTCCCACTTTATGAATGTTCTAAAGGATTTTTATAGGTACTATCATCGGTGGAGGCAACTAAAACTTAATGCTTAGCATTGGAATCTGTTTTCTTTCTTTTTTTCTTTTCTTTTTTTGTACTGGGGAATCAAACTCAGGATATTTCACTTGTGGGGCAGGCGCAGTTTTTCTCTTTGAAAATTTTGAGCCAGGCGTGGTGGCGCACACCTGTAATCCCAGTACTCGGGAGGCTGAGGCAGAAGGATCGCTGTGAGTTTGAGACCAGCCTGGGCTACATAGTGAGTTCCAGGTCAGTCTCAACTACATAGTGAGACCCTGTCTCAAAAAACAAAAAAAAAAGCACCCCAATTTTTTTGTCAATTAAAAATAGGTAAATATTTTTAGAAAAGAAAACATTATGCTAAGTTTTAAAAGCCAGTGATAAAAACACAAGCTATGTGATTGGTTATATTTCTTTTTTTCCTATTTTCGTGCATATTGGTGCATATTAGCTATACAGATTAAAGTGTTTCATTTTGTTAGATTTGTACATGCACAATAATATACCTTCATCATTTACCTCATATCACTCCCTTTCTCCTTGCTCTCCCTTCTAGTTTAACATATTTTTAGGGGAAGGTTTAATATATTCATATTAATTCATCATATTCATTCCCTTCATTACATGTGCTTATATTCCTCCCTTAACCTTCCCCCCATTTCCCTGAAAATAAGACCTACTCAGAAATTAATCAGCCTTGAAAACTGGAAATCAAAAATGATAGCCTCAGGGGCTGGGGATTTAGCTCATTGGTTCCGATGCCTGCCTTGCAAGTACAAGGACCGGAGTTAAATCCCCGATACCACCCCCCACTCAAAAAAAAAAGACAGCCTCATCCAGCCTATCTGTCCCTTACCTGCCATCCCTGTTCTCTTGCTGCTCAGTGGCTTCTCTATAAGGCAGGTAAGGCAAGCATTGACTGATTGAGGCTGATATTTTTTATCTCTAATTTTCAAAGCTGATTATTTTCTGGCTAGGTCTTATTTGCAGGGAAACAAGGTAGTAGTCTCCCTTTTACTTTCTTTTTATCTTTTTAGAACATGCAATGTTTTGTCTTCCTGAGTCTGGCTTATTTCACCCAACAGTGATAATCTCTAATCTATCCTTTTTTTTTTCCCCTTTGAAACAGGGCCTTACCTTGTAGTTCAGGCTGGCTCTGAACTCACTATGTAGCCCAGGCTGGTCTTGAACTCATGGCAATCCTCCTGCCTCAATTCCAGGTGCTGGGATTATACATGTGCACCAACCGCCATGCCCAGTCAGATCCATCCATTTTTTTGCAAATGACTAAGTCTTTTTTTGTGGCTGAATAATAATCTGTTGTATGTACACATACCACATTTTCTTTATTCATTTGCTTTTGGGTACCTAGGCTGATTCGTGTCTTGACTGTTGTATATTGGGCCACAGTAAACATGGTTATGCAGGTATCCCTATAGTAGTCTGACTTCTAATAGCTTCATGTATATACCAAGGCGTGGTATATCTGCTTCAAATGTTAGCTGTAGTTTCTGTGTTTTGAGGAGTCTCTATGCTGATTTACATAGTGGATATACTAGTATTCATTCCCATCAGCGGGGCAGAAGGTTCCCTTCTTTTCCTTGATAGCACTTAAGTTATTGGTTTTTCTTTTTGTTTTGTTTTGTTTTGTTATGTAGTTCAGGCTTGGTGTTGAACTCAGGCAACCCTCCTGAGTGCTGGGATTACAGGCATGCACCATGCCCGGCCCTGTTTTTTGCATTCTTGCTAATAACCCTTCTGATTGGAATGATGTGGAGTCTCAACTTTTCTTTTGAGGAGAGGGAGCTTCATCCAAGAAGAGGATCCTTAAAATGGTGGGGATGTTAGGGCTGTCTCATATATTCTCCTTGGACCAGTAAAGACAACGGTTATGCAGACCGTGGAAATTTTACTATGCAGATTATTAGTTCTTGTTATTGCCCCACTTTCTTGTTTACTTAGTTTTCATTTCATGTAAGTTTGTTGGTTTTGTACTTGTCATTTAAACTTCTTCTTTGCAGATACAAATTCAAAGCACGAGACGTTGATTCCAGAATTCTTGAAGGTGGGCCCATCTTGCCCAAGAGACCACCTGTGAAACCACCCACTCAGCCTATTGGATTTGATTTGGAAATTGAGAAAAGAATCCAGGAGCGAGAGTCAAAGAAGAAGTCAGAGGATGAACACTTTGAATTTCATTCCAGACCTTGCCCTATTAAGATCCTGGAAGAAGTTGTGGTAAGAACAGCTGAGGCTTCGGCCTGTGGCCGAGTACCCACCCGTCATGGGCAGACGTTCTGGGGTAGTATAGTAGATACGAGGGGCAGGCATTGTATAAGGAGCTAGAGATGATAAAGAGATATGAAAGTGTTTGTTCTTAGGACTTAAAGTCCAGTAATGAAGACAACATATGTGTAAATAATATGAGATAGGCAGAAGTACTTTGAGATGGATGACAGTTAAGGTACTGTATGAATTCAGAGGAGAGAATGATTTTTTCCAGATAGAAGGTTAGAGCGCTTTGTGGAGGAGGCAACATTTGCTCTGAGCCTTGACAGTGTTCAGTTGTCATCGCGCATTGTCATGATAACTGACAGTTGTACTCTGTGCCATGTACCGCTTTGTACCTTTTTCTTACATAATCATCTCTTATCCTGGGGGATTGGTTACAGATCTTCCATGGGTGCCAGATTCACCATATGCTCTAATACCTTGTAGAAAATGTTACAGATATTTTCCTATGAACTATATGCACTTACTATATGCTTTGTTTTTTTGAGATGTGTAGGACTTGGAACACATGCCACCACAGTCTCAGCTTCTTGTCCTCTTTCTTTTTGCTTGTTTTAGAGCCAGCCATGATTTTTGGTAAAACCACAAGAATATATTGCCTTTGACTGGATAAACTAGGGTTTTGTTAGCCAGGCATGGTGGTGCACGCCTGTAATCCCAGCACTGGGGAGGCTGAGGCAAGAGGATCGCTGTGAGTCTAAGACCAGCCTGGACTACATAGTGAGTTCCAGGTCAGTCACAACTACATAGTGAGACCCTGTCTCAAAAAACCAAAACAAACAAACAAACTAGGGTTTTGTTAGCCAGGCATGGTGGTGCACGCCTGTAATCCCAGCACTGGGGAGGCTGAGGCAAGAGGAACGCTGTGAGTCTAAGACCAGCCTGGACTACATAGTGAGTTCCAGGTCAGTCACAACTACATAGTGAGACCCTGTCTCAAAAAACCAAAACAAGCAAACAAACTAGGGTTTTGTTTATTTTGAATCCTTAGCACTAAGTCAAAACTCATGATCATGCCAAGAAATTTTTCTGTCCTCATATCCTCTTTCAGTTGAAAGCTTTTTTCTTTTTGGCTTTTTTGAGACAGGGTCTCACTGTGTAGCCCAGGCTAGCCTTGAACTTGCAGCGACCCTCCCTCCCAAGTGTTGGGATTAGAGGTGTATGCCACCACATCCTGCAAAGGTTTTTTTTAATTTGGGACCTCTCTTCTATTCACAATCCCTCTTCCTTTTTTTTTTTTTTTTTTTTTTTTTCATATTTTCTGCTCTGAAGCATATGTACTCCAGGCCAAATTCTGTCACAACTTACTTTATGAACCCACTTCCCCACCCCCATGTGATTGGTCTCTAAGAGTTGTGCCTTTTGCCTTTGTTGTTTGGTTTTTGTTTTTTTGGTACTTGGGACCTTGCGCTTGTGAGGCAGGGTGGTGGCACCACTGACCTAAATCCCCGGCCCCCTTTTGCCTTCTTTGATTATACCCTTAGTGCATAGGGTCCTGAATATGATAGGGGAAAGGTAGTGGTTTTTCTTTTTTGAGACAGGGTCTCACTATGAAGCTGAGACTGGCCTGGAACTCACTATGTAGCCCAGGCTGGTCTTGAACTCACAGCAATCCTCCTGCCTCAGCCTCCCGAATGCTGGGATTATAGGCGTGTATCACCACACCCAACTTTTGTGGTAGTATGTCTGCCTTGCAAAATTTGAGTCTGAGTTCTGATTCCTGGTACCAGTAGATACATGCATAAATGGAAAATGGTTCCATAAATAGATAAAAAATGGTTTTTGTCCTGAACAACATAGAATAGCTAACACTTAATTATTTATTTTGAGCCGCCCGGCTAGCTCAGTCGGTAGAGCATGAGACTCTTAATTATTTATTTTGGTTTTTAAACTTTTATTTTATTTTGGTACCAGGAATTAAACTCAGGACCTTGCACGGCACCACTGAGCTACATCCTCAGCCCTAATAGCTAACACTTATATAAAGCTTGTTATATACTTGGTTTTTATTCTAAATCATCTGTACAATAACTTAATTCTTCTCAACAACTCTATGAAATAAATACTGAGGCTACTTGTATTGATCCATTTTACATTAGGAAACAGTGGTAAAATAACTTGTTTGAGATTACAGATTAGCCTGTGGTAGAACTACGATAAAAATAATAGGTTATGTGCTCTCCAAAAGAGAAAGTTTTGGGGTTTTGATTTTTTTTTATTGTTGCTTTTAGCTTTTTGTGGTGCTAGGGATTGAACCCAGGGCATCATATGTGTTAGGCAAGTACGATTAGGAGTTGGTTATCTTGGAGTAGCACTGTACCTGGTTATGCCTATTGAGAATTCTAAGTAAACAGATCTAGAAAGCACTAGATAAAGTGTTACTGAATTAATGCTGAAGAAAAGTGTTTGTTAAATACAGCTGGTTCTCAGAATCCTTTGGGGCTCTTATGATGTAAACCGTTTCTAAGCCCCAGCCCTGGAATTTTTTGATTTGTTGGGCACAGTGTAGAGGGAGCTCAGGTGAAGAATTTAGAATATAGTACCTGATACACAGTAAGGACAGTAAGCAGTTAGTAGTAATACTAACTGCTGTTTTACTGGGTGCTTACATTGTCCTGAGTGCTTTATTTTTAAATTTTTTCTGATTGCTTTATGTGATCTTATTTTTCATACAAGGTCTATTCTAACCTCCCCCCCCCCTTGAGAAAAGGTCTCACTTTGTAGTTCAGGCTGGCCTTCAATTCACAATGGTTGCCTGGGCTGGCCTCATCATGATCCTCCTGCCTCAGCCTTCCAAGTGCTGGGAAAGGCATGCGCCACACCTCGCTCTTATCCCTATTTTTTAAGATGAGGAAACAGGCACTAGCAGAATGGGATTTGATGCTGGGTGTGGTGTAGCACACCAGAAATCTCGAAGCACTAGGGGGGCTAAAGCCGGAGGATCACCATGAGTTCAAGGCCAGCCTGGACTACTTAGCAAGACTAGCTCAAAAAAAAAACCAAGAACTGGGATTTGAGTTCTTCACTTTCTTACACTATATTATACTACCCCACAATATTTGATATTATCTGTTTCTTTGGCACATAGTTTTTAAATTCAACGTTAGCTTTTTGCCACTCTGTACTAAAATTTTAATTCATGTCTTGGTTTCTAGAGAAGCAAATCATAGGACATCTTACGCATATTTCCACTCACCCCTTTCCTGGTTTTGAGAATTGAACCCAGGCCTTTGCACATGCCAAGCAAGTGCCCTACCACTAAATTACTTACATTCCCCTGGCCCTATTTTTGTTTAATTTTTTGAGATAAGGTCTTGCTGCATGGTTCTTGAACTGACTATGTAGTCCAGGTTGGCCTTGAATTTACAGTACTTGCAGTGATCTTCCTAAGTGCTGGGACTATAAGTGTGCGCCACTAGGCCTGGCTCTCCAGCCCTTTTTAAATTTTATTTTGAGATGGGATCTTGCTAAGTTGGCTAGGCTAGCCTTGAATTTAAAATCCTTTTGTCTCAGCCTCCTGAGTAGTAGCTATCAGGCTCCTGGGCAGAAGTGGGGCAATGAAAGCTTTGAGCACAAGGATGTGAAATGTCCACTCGGGGCTGCGGAACCGTGGTGGTAGATGTGATGTCAGTAAGGGCAGTGAGTAATTTTAGCAGAGATACTTTGGGGATGACTTACAGAGACCAGCAGGCCTTTTTTTTTTACCCCCTGTACCCGCTGAGATAACACTGCTTCATGGTGATTTCTTAACTGCTCTGGAACAGGCCTGAGAGCTTGTCCCAGAGCACATGGGAGCATGTCCTGCCGTAGGGAGATGTGTTCATCCTGATCTCCCACCTGGCTGCTTCTCTTACATGTGTCACTTGTCCCCTTACATCGCCCACGTCTGCCCATACATCCCTTCACAGGTACCTAAATTTCTCTGATAGCTTTTAGCTCCATATTCTGCTAGGTTGAGAACATTTGTGAAAATCAGGAAGTATTTAATTTATTACTTACTCACTGTCTCTTTTTCCCCACTGAAATGTGAAATCCTTGAGAACAGGGCTCGTATGTATCTATATTGTGCATTGTATATCCCCAGCACCTTGCCTAGTGACGCCCCAACACCTACACTCCAGTATTGGATGGTGGATTGAGTGACAGTACAAATTGACATGTACCAGCATGTGTTTTTAGCTTGTTAGACACTGAGAATTCAAACATGGGATAAGATATAACCCAAAGCTTGCACAGGTTAGTAGAGCAGATTGACATGTAAGCAAATGAATGTGGCAATAACATACATGTTTAGTCACTCCCAGGTCTTTTTGTGGGTGCTGTGGAGAAGACAGAGGTTTGCAAAAGCGGTATCCTGGCCCTCGAGGAGCTCATAATTCAGACTTAAAATAACAAGATACGAAGCCATCATTTTTTCTGGAAACTTGATTTCCTTTTCTGAATTTCACATTGAACTCCCATTTGGCTTTGATTGCAGTGGAGATGGGGTGTGTTCGTTGCTGCAGTGATGATTTTTATAAAACATCTTTTCCTACCCCAGCTAATTATGAGAGTTGTTCTCACTCATAAATATCTCCTTTCCTGGCTTACTAGAGATTTCCATTGCTTCTCTTTTAAAATGCAGCTCTCTGCTGGTTGGATGTAGAGACAAGGAAAAAAATAAGAGGGGATTATTTTAGAACTAAATGAGTCCTCAGGTATCTATTTTGATTATTTTGTGAAAAACCTTGAGGCCTAGGAGGGTTCCTGATGTTCCTGCTTGTACAGGTTGGAAGCAGAGTTGGGACAGAACAGGACCCCTGGCTCTTTGCTTACGGTTCTTCCCACTTCTCTATACATCTGTATTTAATCAAGGTGTGCTGGTGTTCACCCTTCCAGGATATGGCGAAACAGCAGGTTTTCATTATTGTTTATGGTGAGAATCATTTCAAAATACATTCTTAAGACTTTCAACCTCTGATTACAAGGTCTAGTAACTTGGATTTCATTATTCTAAGTGATAGCATTCTTTACAAGCAAGAAATCTCACAGCAGAGTAGCATTCCTTTCGCAGTGGTCACCTTGAGACACTATAATCATGGTTCTTTCCAGTGATTATGATACTGCACAGCACATTCGGGAAAACCACTTGTTTTGTTACTTTTGGATTTCTACATGATGGCAAATCTTTGTGTTTTAAGGATTAATTTGCATTTAAAAGCTTGTCTAAAAATATTTGGGACTAAACTTTTTAAAAAATATATTCTTAACTAAAACTTCTGAATAGTAAAAGATAATAATAGAGGGAGAAAGAGTTTTGTTACATTAAAGGTAGAGATTGACCAATTGTCTCGCACAGTCCAAAAAGTGGCTTTGATAGGCACTCCAAGAAAGACATTCCAAATGTGTTTTTGAGCAGTTGTAGCATTGTTAGGATTAAGAAGTCTCCCAAGGTATCCATGTAGAGTCCAAGATATAAATTCTCATGTGTTCATTCTTACTGCATTCATTTAACAGACATTTCCTGAATGCCTTATACTTGTCAAGATCTGTGTTAGGTGCCTGGGATTGATGGAATAAAATAGTGCCCATCCTTGTAGTACTCATAGGCTAAGCTGGGGGGAGATAAAAGTGTAAATAAGTAAGTATAATGAAGTTTTATTTTTTAAAATTAAAAACAATTTTGTTTTTCAGTATGGGGATCTTGTGCTTGTGAGGCAGGTATAGTGCCACTGAACTAAATCCCCGGCCCATAATGAAATTTTTTATATGTATAATCAGCCCACC